CCGCCCCCCCTCCCCCCCGGCTCCCCCCGCCGCCAGACCCCTTGCAACCACAAATCTCTTTCTGTCTCTATAGATGTGCCAATTCTGGATATATTATGTAAGTGGAATTATACAATATGTGGGCATTTGTGTATGGAGTGGCTTTGTACAGTGTCTGAGAACATGACTGTTAGAATGCAGAGTTACTATACTGTTACTTATATAAAAAATATCCCAGGGGAAAGTGCAAATTCATGTCACATTCTATTTAGTAGCTTACATGAATAACCTTCTCTCAAGAAACTTTTCAATGGTGGTGGGGCCTGGATTCAATTTTCCTACTAGGAAAAAAGATACAGACATGCCATGCCAGCCCAAGTCTCAACCTGAAATTTAAAACTTTATTATCTTCCCTTCCCCACCAGGCCTATAAAATATGCATCCTGATTAACTTAATAGCATCCTTTCCCTTCGAGCTGATGTCCCTACTTTACCCAACTACACAATTATCTCAATTCAAGATTGCCAAATAATAAAGATGCTTATTGCAATAAAAAAGAAATCTCAGATATAAATTTTAATAAAAAGAACTTGCCAACTTTGCTCATCCTAATAATCACTCTGGAAAATCATCAAACTCCTCTTTATAATTTTTATACAAGAAAGAAACAACTTGCTTTTATATGATACCCGCCAAAAAAATTACTGAAAGTCACTAATATTTCCTTCTCCGTCATTCCACTAGAAAAAATTTGCCACATAAAATAAGCACGCTATCCCAGTTAGAGGTTGCATTGAAGAGTGAAAAGACACCCACTGATTTTTTACAGAGATAAATGAGGCCTGTGTTTGGAAGAACCAAGGGCACCAGACTTCAATTCTGCCAGACACAATCACTTGGTTGGTCTGCAGGTTTTGACAGCAGGGTTAAAAAAAAAATTTTTTTTAATGTTTATTTATTTTTGAGAGAGAGAGAGTGCAAGCGGGGAAGAGTCAGAGAGAGAGGGAGACACAGAATCTGAAGCAGGCTCCAGGCTCTGAGCTGTCAGCACAGAGCCCATCATGGCTGGAACTCAAAAATCATGAGATCATGACCTGAGCCAAAGACGGATGCTTAACTGACTGAGCCACCCAGGCGCCCCTGACAGCAGTTTTAATGAAGCAATGCTAGAATCATATGGCAGAAAATTATTCTTAGAAATCTGAATTCACCATTATTATAAATAAGAATGTAATTTCTTTATAGCATTCAGACATTCTGGCAAATACTACAAATGCAGAAAGCTCAAATCCTCCCTATAACCACCAGGTGGTGTTCTCTGCCTGAGATTTTATCCCAATAACGTCTTACTGCTATTAGCTTGATAGGCTCAGATTTATCTTCAGCCCCTTGAAACCCCTAGATTGATTTGCATAGTAGGTCTGCCATATAGTTAACACACACAAATAATTAACACACATCTTTCAGTGGCAGGGAGCTATATAAAAACAAAATGAAAAGCCTAAACAGATGTGAATGTGGTTTCTTAAGGGTGTGGTGTGTCTACTTTGGGCTATAGTTTTCATAAAGGAATTCAGATAAAATTTAAGTTATATAGGATTAAAAATGGGACCAAGGGTGCTTGGGTGGCTCAGTCAGTTGAGCATCTGGCTCTTGATTTTGGCTCAGGTAATGATCTAAGGGTGGTGAGATCAAGCCCTGCGTCGACTTTGTACATGCACCCACTTTCTCTCTCAAAAAAAAAAAAAAAAAAAAAAAACAAAGAAAAAGAAAAGAAAAAGGGGGACCAAAAGCTAACATTTCATGTTTCTTTACCATTTTCTCTTTGCTCTAGATTCTAGAACCTAATGACGAGATAGTTAAAATATATTTGTTTCCTAACACAATCAAAAGCCACAACACTAATTAAAAGTTAGCTGTGGAATGTTCTGCCGTTTGCTTCCTGGCTCTAAGTCCAGAGGGTGATTCCCAATCATCTAAGTCACTGCCACTGCTGTGGACTTTCTCCAGCTCTCATTCCAGAGTACGTAAAGTCCCTTTGCCTCTGAGGAATACATTACCGAGACCTGATACTCTGGAGCCACTGACGAGGCCTCAGTACAGAGGCAATAATAATTAATGCAGGCAATAATATTTTCATGAAAGTCAGAGGACAGCCTCCTCTTCTCCCCTCCCACATCTCTCCATAACCTTTTCCCAATGAAATAGTAACAGTTGTAACTTGGCCACTCAGCATCCTTTAGTTTTCAGCCACTAGATTTACTAATCAATAACTGCATGCTCCATAAAAGATTATGAAATTGCAGAAGAGGAAAAGACAAAAGACAAAAGTTACTTTATATGGCTGAAAATGTAGGGGAAAGGTGTCGTTATTAAAAGTACAATCTATACAGCCAGAAAAAACTTTGGTTTGAATGTCAGCTCCATCAATTATACTGCAGAGACAGTACAGATGAGATCCCCAGATTCAAAGAGCTCACAGACTAATTGGTCTCCAGCCTCCTACCAGAATAAACTTTCATCAATTAATAATTGATCTCTTCAGAGATATTTAAATTTTCTAAGCCTCAGTTTCTTCATCTGTAAAATGTGTATCTCACAGAATACAGACGGACAATATGAGAGAGCCCCACGTAATAACATGGTACAGAATGAGATTTCCAGAACCCATCTCCCACTCATCTTCACTGTAAAGGCTGGTTAACTCATTCGTATACATATACGAACACTATGCCCCATCACAGAATGCTTCTTTTTAGACAGGAATATGAGTTCCAGTCCTAAAATGTCAGAACCAAAATTGACTGACTAAATACCCCAAAGAAGAAATCTACCCTGGATCCCATTTCAAATCTTCTAAAACACATGAAATTTTAACGAGCTTCATCTCCCTGAAAATATTCTTTGAAAATACGCTATCTAAACCCCCACCTATTCCCCTTCTCTGCTTGACTCCCCCACTCTGCCTTTGTGCCCACACATGTCTTCATGACACATACAAAGGCCCAAAACTGTCAACCTGACACGCTTGGATTCCACAGTACCTGGTACTGGTGCTACCAAGGCCTGCCTACTTA